GCTGAACCCTATTATTCCCCTTGATTTCAGTCAACTATGTACTGGCCTGTTTCACTTAAATAAGCACCTTAAACGTAACATTTCTAAAATGAATCCTTTCGCATTAACCCACTACTCCTTCTGTCCAAATATTCACTCAGTTCAGGCCAGAAACTAGGGCCATCCTAGACTCCTTTTTCTACTGTACTTATTATCACAAACACTAAATCCTAGTCATTCTTATATATCTCTCACACTTGTTCCATTCTTTCTATCACCACAGCCATAATCCTGGTTCAGGTTATCACCTCTCACTTCAGGACAATTAAAATATCTTTGCTACCTCTAATTTTGTCCCCAAGGCTGGGGTACTCAACAGGTGGACTAACTTGGGCTAGGGCACCAGCAAAAATGCATGCAGAAGCATGTATGCACGCACGCACACGCACGCGTGCGCACACACACACACACACACACACACACACTCATAGTGAAGGTCAGAAAAATCTAGTTGACTTGTACTTTAGGTTACAGAAGGACACCATATTGTTTTTGGTGCTCTGATCTTTCTCTGATCTTGATGGCCCATGTTCAGTCCATTCAATGTGATCCTTCTAAAATATAAAATGGATCCTGACATACCCAACAGTTCTCTTCCAATGCTTACATAGAATACATTCTGAACAGTATGAAAACAGTGAGGAAGAGTGTACAATGTGAGTAGTGTAGGCAAGCAGACCAAACCATGTCCTTCTTGCCTATTTAAGAGCCTCAGTTTTTGCCACTCCCCTTCTGTCTTTATCTTCTGGTAATCCTGGACCAACAGTGGAGAAGCCTTAACATGTTCCACTGTCTTGTGTCCCTGTAGCTTTGCAAATTCTGTCTTCTCTGTTTAGAGTACTCTCTAGCCAACCCTTTCAAAGTGCCACACTCCTGGTCATGTTGTAATTCTCATCTCAAATACTAACTTTTCTGTGGAGCCTTTTGTCTCCTCCTGGCATGACTCTGACCTTCTTCTTCCCATACTCTTTTTTCACTCCAGTTTCACTATAGTAATGATCCTCTTGATTTATATATATTAATTTGCATTTTATATTCCCACTAGATTAAAATCTTGTTAAAGACATGGAATTTTTGTCTTTCCATTTTTTTAGCCCTAATATTTGGCATAATGCTACTTGGTGCTTAGGATTTGCTGAATGACCTTTTTAATAATTTTCTGCTATATGCAAGATATTGCTGCATTACAAAATATATAACTAAGTTTTTAAGGGATAAGGGAATAAGACATTTTTGTTAGACTTATTGGAGAAAAAGGAAGCATAAGAGGAAAAGAAGATATAAGTAGAAAAAAATGAATAACCTCTTATTTCAAAGACCAATCAATAACTAAAACAATGTTTTACGGCTCCATAGGGCTTTTGAAATCCTTTTGCTAAAAAATCCCCCAGCTTGGGATGTTCAGCTTTTGTTTTAGACTGGTGGAACTGGTACTGACTTTCTCATTCTAATGAATATTTCATAGCCAAAGGCAAAGTTCCTTGAGTATAGAGGTGAGGAAGCTATCAGTCTGGATGAGGCCACTGACAGGACAGTTATGACAGAAACACCAAAACAGACTGCATTTAGTTTAATTTTATAAGCATTTACTGAGTTAAGACACAGGGGATATACAGATAGATAAGACATGTATCTTGCCCTCACAAAGCTCATAGTTTTATAGAGGAGAAAGATATCTTAATATATAGTTAACATGCATTGTATAAGCACACTGATGGAGTACCTGATATCCAGGTGACACTGCTTAAGTGGGAAGGTTAGAGAATACATAATGCCATTGGAGCTGGGTTTTGTATGACAGGGAGAAAAAAAATCCAGATGACCAAGGTAAGGAAAAGGCATTTTAGAGAGGAAACAGCATGTACATAAGGGTACTTGTTCAGAGAACCTGGAGTACTTTGTAGTGCCTGGAGTGTAAGGTGTGAGGTCAGGGAGAGAGAGAAAGCTGAAGAGGTCAGAAGGGTCACATCAGAGATTTGTAGTCAAGGATGCAGGTCAAGTAATGTGGTTAACAGGAAGCCAGAGAAGGTGATATTTCAGAAAGATCATCAGGGTGGAACTGAAGAAGGTAGACTGGCAATATGAGACTTGTTAAGAGGCACATATGATTGAGTCTAGATGAGAGACGGTGAAGGCTTGAACAAAGGGCTAGCAGAGGAGATGATAGGAGATGACAGATTTGAAAGGCATTTAGGATATAGAACTGATAGGATCTGGTGACTGCCTGGATGGCAGCAGAGTAATGGTGATGGGAAGAAAATAAGGAAAGAAGTAAGGTTTCTGGCTATTTTGGTTAAGAAGACAATGTCAACCAAGATAAGGATGTTAGCTAAAAGCTTTAATAAAGAAGGAAGAAATCTACTGCAAAGATTATAATCACAGAAATGGAACAGAGTTTTTTAAATTCAAGGAAACTTTTAAGAAATAAAATTATATTTACTATGTCTTATCTACTTATTAAAACATGCCAGTGACCACAACTTATTTAAGTAGACAGACATGACTTACCCTAGCCAAGAGCTCAAACTCTGGAGCAAAGTTTTGGCAAGGTCCACACCAAGGAGCATAGAAATCAACCACCCAATGGTTTTTCCCTTGTAAAACTTTTTCATTGAAAGTCTGAGGCGTTAGATCTATAGATGCTTGAGGTAAAAATCTGTGACAAGGGATGAAAATTACTTTTCATTATACAAAACCAAAGCAAACATCAAAAATAGAATATTGCAAATCTTTCTAAGTTAAGTGACTTCAAAGAATGAAAATGTAATAATGTAATAAAGCACAACCTTATCTTGGTAAATTATAATTCTTTACTAAGTACTTTAAAATGCTAGAACCTTAAACAGCTCAGTAAATTTAGCTACAGACATGAGAGAAAGGTAGATAGCATTGAATATAATTTATACAATGATACATATTTTAATTACTCACCCTAGACCCCAGATTCTTAGGGAATAAGCATCCCTATTCCAACCATTGTAACTACTGAAAGAAGAAAAAATACGTAAGTTGTAGACAGTTATTTTCTATTATTGGACATGTTCAGAAAACAATCTTTTTGTAGCAATTTAAAAGATAAGTTTAGTTGACTGACTTCATCTAGCATCTCTTTTCTCAGATATACCTCGCTGCAAATACTGCTTACACGGCTTTCCAAATATATTTTTCTCTAGTCTAGATGTCTTTTTGTACTCTGGACAGACCTGAATGTTTAGCCGCTTGTTGGACATCACCTATAGATCTGTGGTAATGGCAAAACTCAAAATCTCCAAGGCTTTACTTTCTGAATCTTTATTACAGTTATTACTGTCTATCAAATTCCTACCCGCTTTTTAAGACCCATGAGGACTAGTGGAAATAATGTGAGCAAAAACCCTCTGGTAGAATACCTGAAACCAAATAGGGGCTTAATAAATGTTCTTCCTCTCCTCATTTTCTTTACAAGATTGTCAGCTTCATGATCAGTGGGACTATTCAATTCACTTTTCATTTTGTAAATTTCTCATTAGCACACTATCTTAAACATGGTGGGCTCCCAAAAATACTGGTGGTTTAACTTTTATTTAGTTAGGATAACTTTTAAATTTTAACTGTATAAATAAATGATTATATAAACATCTTCAAATTTTAGAGAACACTTACTGATATTGATAAGCTTTATTTGATTTTGGGGGAAAAAATCTTATCTCAGGGTATCTCTGAACATTTTCTTGGGAACAAAAAGAATGATATTGTTGGCAGTTTATACTGCCCACATTGATCAGTCCAGTTAATGTCTATAAAAGAAAAAAAAGAGATCAAAGTAATTAGAATAAAATTACTATAACTATTTTATATATGTTTACAATAGAGAAATAGTCACTGTGAGATGATTATTATATTATTTATCAGTGATTTTCACCAAATAAAAATGGGTAAGGGCTTAAAACATAATAGAACATTTATAGTAATGCAATGGAAATCTAATTTTGTAGTCAAGAACTTATTACAATTATTGCAGATTAAATAATTGATTTTGTTCATCTATGACATGGGGAAAATTGTGTGGTTATAAAATTCAAAGTGTTAGAAACCAAGAACTAATGAAGTTCTTTGCAATGATATTTCAGAGTTACTTTTTCAAATGCAGCCATGGGTCACAGATAGCATACTGAGTCACGCCCAAATTTAAAAATTTTATTGAAAAGAGCAGAAAATTATATTATTATGAATTTAAGATACTAAATAATTTTAACTCTTAGGTTTATTATTTATCTTAGAAATAAATACAAAGTAGTAATTTCATTTTCCATTCTGGTATTTAAATAATCTGTTTCATTGATCAAGGCCATTTTTTTCTTAAAGTCTCACAATATTGTGAAGAAACTGTATCTTTAAGCTCTAAAAATGAAGAAGTAGAAAAAATGTTAATAGGAAATAAAGGAGATCTTTGTGTTGATGCTGGCAGAAATTTGGTCAAGTATACACCAAGTGACATAGAAAAAAGGGTAATTATTCTATACTATTCATATACCAGACAGAAGCAGAGTTGAAATCTAATTGGTATATAAAAAGTGATCAGAACTTTTATTAAGTGATAATCTAGAGGCGGGTTCACTCATCTCAGTTTCAAAATAATTGTTAAATATACATTCTTAGTAAATGTTAAGATTTACAATAAACTATTTTACTACACCCGGGCCATTCTTTTCCATTCTGGCATTAAGACTTGACACGGATGACACCATGGAGAATAGAAATCAACCATCCAGACTTCGTCATGTTTTCTTTGTTTAACTAGTTCATTGAAAGTGGTGGGTGTCAAGGAGATCACTGAAGGATTCATAAGATCCTAAAGAGAATACAGCGTTCATTGTAACAGATATAAAAAGGAGTAGTTCATACATTCTTGGCAAATTGTTGGTATATGTCATTTAGAAAGGTTCCTGTTTCTGAATAATCAAAAGATACATTAGGATATATAAAGAGAATCTATAGTGAATTATTTTAAGAAGTAAGAAATGATCCTTTATTTTTTAAGTTTGGATTTTGCCCATCAGTCTTATTAAATCAACGTATATTTTCTTATTTTATACATCACTAAAATCATCTTAGGTAGAGAAAAGAGGCAACTTTAATTAAGGTTAGAAGTAGATGAGGCAAGAGTTCCAAGAGCTGCCCAGATGTCTACACAGGCCATATAGTTCTTTTTGGAACCAATAATTGGTTTGGAAATGACCCTTTAATTATTTATGGAAAGCCTACTATTCTATTTTTCTGACATTCCGACTTGAGATACTGCACAACCTCAGATCACTTGCTCCAAATACTGTTTTAACAGAGCTTCAGTCTATCATGATTGGGTAATACTAATGAAGATGTTCGCTTCCCTGGGGAAACAATTAAAAACAACACAAAACAAAAAACTATTACTTTGGAGGAGGAGGGAGAGATGAGCAGGACAGAAAGTAGAATGGTCACTGCACGGATAATAAGCTAGAATTGTTCATTTCTTTCTTAGGAGTTCCCCTGTAACTCTTTTAGTCAATTAAGACTATTAGTGAGAAAAAAGGAGATGTTGTAGATGTAGAGCACTTCTGGGCTAATAACACAGCAGGCTCGGCATAAGCTGCCTGGGCTTGAAGAAACCCTCCATTGGCGGTTGGGTTAAGACTGTCCTTAGCCACATATTTCTTGGAATTATACAAGAATGGGGCTCACTGCTATCTCATCTATATGGGACTGAAAAGAAATAATCTGTGGTAATTCTACCTGAGAAAACAGGGAAAGGGAGTGACAAGGTTTTATGTAAAAGTTACAATTTCATGTGATAATAAATGTGTCCATAAGTACAAGGCACTATACTAGGTAACAAACAGAACATATACTTGCTATAAACTCTGAAAATAAGTCTATAATATTTAAAAGAGTAGAAAATTTAACAAATTAATGTTGTCAGAAAATGTTTTGGCATAAAAAGAACAAATCCTATTATTAAACATTATCAAATATTCATACAAAGTGTAAACATACATGGAAGGATTTATAGCCACAGGCTGTAAGTTAAAATACCTCTACGAACTCCAGGATCTGTTCAGCAGAGTGATGTCCTTCATATTCATGAATGTTGGACTGGTTGAATACCACTGTTGTTGGATAAGCCTGAATGTTATACTGTTAGGAATGAGAATACAAATTAAACAAAGATTTTATACACTTTACCCAATTGTTTCAAATTCATAACCAGCTTGCCTTTATTTAAGTAACAACAAGATTTTTAAAACTCATTGCTAAACTGCTGGTGACTGAAAAATTTTAGCCTGGCCAGATTTAGCAAAGGAAATAGATTTACTGTTGTACTCCTGAGTATCTGATCCTTATTTATAGTTACTCCACTAGCCATAAAATCCACAGGCACTGAAACACTGAGAAGTGAGTATGTGTAATTATTAGCTTGGTCCTCTTCTGCTCTCCTGAACCAAGGGGGATGAGGATGTAAAGAGCAGACTAATCTCTAGCTTGAGTGGTTTTTTTTTTAAATACCATAATAAACACTCCAATTTGTTTAGAAGTAGAAGAAAAATCAAGGAAATAAGAATAGCAAGAATAAGGAAATAAATTAGTAATTCATGTGTATAGAACCATATTTTAGGTTAAAGAATTATGAATCATGCCCTAAAAATGAGGTCACTTTTTATCCTTTGCTCAATTCAGCTTCTATGGTAAAAAATACTATAATTTCCTCCTCAGAATTAGTATGAACACTAATCCAGAAAGCACTTCTCTAAAGTTTTTCTTCTTATTTATTTTTTTAAAAAGTTATAAAGAGATCCCTATCTGTGGATTTGCTGTAGCTGAACTTTGCATCCTGAAAGTTGAAAAGCACTCATTAGCAAATTGGAATCTGACTAGGATTCAAAAATAATTTTACAAAAAACAATGGAAACATTTATCAAACTTTCGTAAATGAGCACAAATAACCCATTAGATGAACAAAACAATAATTTTATCTAACATTTGACAAGTCCTTATGTGCTGAGCACCTTTTTAGCACTGACACGTGGAGTTTCTCATCTGTTCCTCACAACAATTCTATTCAGAAGCTAAAATTACTAAGTCAACTTTATAGATGAGGAAACTGAGGTACTGAAAGGCTAAGTGACTTGGTCAAGTTAACCAATTAGTGAGTAGTGAATCCTGACTTCTATTCCAGGTGAATTTGATGCAATAGTTTTAAATCTTTAAACTTTGCTTAATTATCTATAGGATATTTAAAAGTTGAGATTAAAAGTAGAAAAACTACAGGAATTCAAATTAATTAGTTTATCACAATATTTTATCTTTGCTTAGCACCTTTTTAAAGTCACATACAAGGCATTCAAAACCAAAGAAAGGCCTTATTTATTTCATTTTTTAAACTTATTTTAATGAAATTTCAAACATAATGAAAAGAGAATAATCTAACAAACACTCACGTATACCTCTGCTACATTTAAAGATGATTAACTTTTCTGCCATTCTGGCAGACTGTTGAAAGTTCTTTCTTGATCCCATTTCCTTTCCTCCCTGACACCAGGAAAGAGCCCGTATCCAATCCATTGATGTTTCACACTTTGGCTACATGCATATGTATCCCTAAGCAGTATATTGTAATGTTTCAGCACTTATAAATAAACTTTCTATAATTTCATCATACTCTATACTATTCTGCAACCTGCTTTTTTCATTATATTCTTGAGATTTACCCATGCTGGTAAAGACAGATCTAGTTTTAAGTCCTCTATGGTTATTCCACTCTGTGACTGGATAATTTATTTATTCATGTAATTGCTATTGTCAGCTAAATTAAAAAAAAAAATTGATGGATGGGGGGTGTATGACTATTGCTATAATTTGTACTTTCTTGATGACTAGTGAAGTCGAACATTTTCCATATTTATTGAATTTCCTCCTTTACAAAATTTCTGTACACTGTCTCATTTTTCTTCTATTTAAAAAAAATTGATTTGTAGTCTTTAAATATTCTGGACAGTAAGGTTTTGTCAGTTATATGTGCTGAAAATATTTCCTGAGTCTGTTGTTTGCTTTGACTTTATAATGTCTTTTTCTCTGGCAATAGTTTTAAACATTTAACATAGCCAAATTCATTCCCATTCATAATTTTTATCCTTAGTGTATGTGTGCCTACACAGGCATGCATGTCTGTGTGGAATGAAATTATTCCTCACACAGATGCATAAAGATTTCACCCTACATTTACTTCTATTATGTTCTTAAAACACATTCTTTTTTTAAAAAAATTGAGGTATAGTTTACAATATTTAGTTTCAATTGTACAGCAAAATGATTGTTTTATATATTTCAGATCATTTTCCACTAGAGCTTATTACAAGATATTGAATATAATTCCCTGTGCTATACAGTAAGTCTTTGTTGCTTATCTGTTTTATGTATAGTAGTGTGTATCTGTTAATCCCATACCCCTATCTGTCCCCCTCTCAAGCTTTGGTAACGGTAAGTTTCTGTGAGCCTGTTTCTGTTTTGTGTATATACATTCGTATTTTTTTAGATTCTACATGTAGGTGATTTCACATAATATTTGGCTTTCTCTGCCTGACAGACTTCACTAAGTATAATACTCTCTAGGTCCATCCATGTTGCTGAAAATGGCAATATTTCATTCTTTTTAATGGCTGAGTAATATTACACACACACACACACACACACACACCTTCTTAAGCCAACTGTTGATGGGCACTTGGGTTGTTTCCATGTCTTGGCTATTGTAAATAGTGCTGCTGTGAACACCAGGGTGCACATATCTCCTCAAATTAGTTTTTGCTTTTTCTGGATATATATCCAGGAGTGGGATTGCTGGATCATATGGCAGCTCTATTTTTAGTTTTTTAAGGAAACTTCATACTATTTTCCATAGTGGCTGCACCAATTTATATTCTCACCAACAGTGTACGAGGGTTTCCTTTTCTCCACACCCTCTCCAGCATTTATTATTGTTTGTAGACTTTTTGATGATGGCCATTCTGACTGGTATGAGGTGATACCTCATTATGGTTTTAATTTCTCTAATAGTGAGTTGAGCATCTTTTCATATGCCTGTTGGCCATCTGTATATCTCCATCATAATAATTACTGAAAATCATCAGATATCCAGTGTTCAAGTTTCCCCAATTATCTCTTTTTTTCTGGAGTTAGTTTATTTGAACTGCATCCAAACAAGGCCTAGACATTGCATTTGAATGATATGTCTTGTAAGTCTTTTTCATCTCTTTTTTCCTTCTTTCAATGTACATATCCAATAAACTGGTGTTTGTCCTGTAAAGTTCTCTACATGCTGGGACTTGAAGATTGTATGTACCTGGTGTCACTTGACATGTTCCTCTGTCATTGGATTTCCTATACACTGATATCTGGAGGCTTGATTTAGGGTTTTTTTTCCCCAAGGATATTTTATAATTTCTAGTTCTTCCTAAACTGAAGAGTATTTATTAACCTAAGAAAATATTTTGTATGTAAACAAAAGTTAAGAAGCTTGTTTAATTTCTATTAACTACACTTAAAAGACAAAGAATAAAAACTATAGACCACCCAAAGGTAATATTAAGTTAAAATAAACCTTAAATAATTGAAAAATTGAATAATCATGTATTTTATCAAGTCAACTAAATATTTTTCTGAGTTTCATAAATAAGACCCTGTCTACATTGAACCACATATTATCTATTTACATTTAGTCCAATCATAACTTTATATCATTTTGTTGAAGTTATTTCTTTACTAAATGTTAGATGTACATTTGAAAGTTATTTTATTGCTTTAACATTAGGCTGCCAAAACATTTTACAAAAACATTAATTAGAATAAATTTTTTGTACTTTGCCTTACCATGTTACAGAGTCCCTCGTGAACTGTACAATCTAATGTACCAAACTTAAGCTGACCGTAAAGATGCTTTGATGCTTTTCGTAACTCTGGCAATAAAGCTCGACATGGTGGACACCACTATGAAAGAAAAAATATTCATAAGCACTGAGCCAAATGAAACAAAAAAACACACACCATTTTTACAACAAGCAAATTCTAAGTAAGACAAACCATACATAGTTACAAATGTTATGCATTTATATTCTCAGTCCTTGGAGGGGAGGGGCAAGTATATCAGCCTTTCCTAGAAGTAATATGTGACAGTGGCCAAACTGAGTAACATGATTCTAATATTCATGGTTCAAGGTTACCCAGAAAATGTTTTTTTGCTGTGACAAGAGAAAATGACAATATCGAAATTTGACAGATAAGCATAACTTACAGGGGCAAAAAAATCAACTAGCCATGGTTCTTTGTCACTGGCAGGAAAATTTTGAGGTCCCAGTGTGGTAACATGAGAATTAACACTTTCTTTGGCAAAGGCAAGTATATCATAAAGAATCTTCTTTCCTTTGAAACAGAGAAAGAGAAAAATTAAAATCTACATTGTCTTTTTATCCATAGAAACATTTCAAAGCTTTTGTACTTGAAATATTAAAGAGAAGATAAACTTATTAACAAATTGATTTTGTTGAGGTTTTAGTGTTCTGTATATTATATACACATAGGTTTGCTCTGCCAGGAGAAACCTTTCCTTTACTGTGTTTCTTAGAGGATCAGATAAAATGTCAAGATCTCTTTGAAAAGTTCCTTCATCCTCAGAGGCAGAATAATTTCCTTGCAGTACTGAGTTCTTTTTGCTTACCTGAACTACTGTTATAGCCTCTTAAATCTGTTTCTTCAACCTAGACTTCTCTTATGAATTCAAAACCTGTATTACCAACTGCCCAGTGGAAACAAGGTGAAATGCAGAAATATAAATTCAAGAGAGATAACAAAGCGGTTAATGGAGATGTCTGGTTATCTAGTGTTTGAAAAATCTAAAACAATGTCTAGAAACTGCCCCTAATGATTGAGATGCTACATTTGGCATACTGAAATGGAAACTAGGTGTTTCTTATTTTTGTCAACAAGACAAACCCTGAAATTCCTTACTAGCCTGACAAGTCATCAGAGCTCTTGCTGAAACAGTGATCAAAATATTGGGGAGAAAAAAGGGATTTATTTTAAACAGTAAAGAAGATAAAACAACTATATTTAATTCAAAATATCTTTCCCCACAAGAAACAGATTTACTAATAAGTGAGAACAAAGTCATTTTTCATAATCATGTCCATATAAAACAAGGTTAAAAAGTAGAATTAAGAATTACTATTTGAAAATCGAGAAATTTTTATCACTTTTTCCCTTCTTACCATGATGAATTTCAAATTCCTTAGTTCCTTGTCCTTTAAATACTGCTAGACATGGCTGAAAAACATAGAGATTACTACAGATGTCTGGTGCAGAGGAACAGTCAAACTTGCCAACCTAAAGTATAAAGAGAAGGTTTAATCTGTTGAAAATAAAATCTTACCCATTCAGTTAAATATTCATAAGGATAATCCAAAAATGACATTGCTATAACAACACAGCTTCTAAACAGAAGTTAATGGACCATGAAAGTAAGAGACAGAAATAATTAATTTACATTTAATACTGAAACTAAATTTAGTTATTAAAAAAAATGCCTCCTAGAGATTTCAAAAACCTGAGAGGAAATTTCCAAGAAAATATTAAGTTGTTTAAGAAACCACCCTTCTAAAAATGTAGAGAATATTTATATAATCTTGGGGTGGGGGAAAGAGAGAACGTCTTAAGAGAGGCCCTACAAGCAGAAATAATAAAGAAAAAGGTTCACATTTTCATAAGGTATGGAAAAAAAATCCAGTGGGCAAATGATAAACCAAAAAAAAATATCTGTAGCATTTAAGACAAAGGATCTATTAAGAAATAAAAAGATGAACATCCTATTAGGAGAAAGAAAATGGGCCAGAGACATACATGGAAAATAAAGTAGAAAGCAAATAAATGAAAATGAGTATTATTAACAAATCACTTTTGGCCTATCAGGACAGTGCTAATTATAAAGAATGATAATACCAGGGCTGGCACTGGTATAGAGAAATGGTCACTTACATGCTGTCAGTAAGAATATAAACTGATATAAACTTCCTGGAAGACTCTGGTAATGAGGATAAAAAATTCTGAAGAAAATATATAACCTTGGTTCAAAAAATTCCTCATACTGCATTTTTGCAGTATATCTTTTTGATATAAAAATGGAAACAAAGTCACCAGTAAAAGAGGATTTGTCAAACAATCATGGTGTAACCATACAGTGAAATACTGCTTGGTCTTTAGAATGATGACTGATACATTTACATATACACACACACATATACACATATATATTACACTGGTATGTGGAAAATTTTATATCACTAAATGGAAAATTTTACGAAAGAGAATTTAGTGAATATAATTTGATTAAAAAGCATACATATAAATTTACACGTATGTCTTACAATGGCCATTACAATATGCATATATGTGCACACACATACATATGCCCACACTTAAAACGCTTGAAAGGTTATAACAGTAAATTCTTAGTAGGTTTACTAACAGTGGAGAAAATGTGGATAATTTTTAGGCATCTACTTTAATTCATTTTTGTGCTTATTTATATATGCTAATTTAAAATAATGAATATGAAATTACTTACATAAAGAAATAAGAATTTAAAAAAAAGGAAAAGATATCCTATTCTATAGTATGCATTCCAGAAAAACTATCATACAGATTTATCACATACCAACTACCCAAGAGAAATGAAGGTTAACCTTTTGTGGATATCATTTTAACTTTTAATACAAAAAAGAAAACGCAACAGAAGAACAAAGGCATTTAGGGGTTTCTTAACCTAGAATTTCAAATAAACATTTTTACGTTATTTAAAACATAACTTTAGGTACTAAATTAAGAAGAGAGCACATAAGCAGAAGGCTAGGCAGAATACACTTTTCTTACTTGAATATGTTCATTTTTAAGTAGAGTTTTTAGTTTCTTCAACTCAGGATCATTTGAATTTTCATTTTTTCCAAAATGAAAAAATAAGAGCCACCGATGATGAGCCAAACGATCCTTAAAAGTGATTAAAGAAGAAAGCGATAAAGGAAAAGAAACATGAGCGATGGGAAATCCTAAGAGTTCTATCAACAATTTCTTTCTTTGACTTAATTTTAACTATCCTACCCATTACTTCAAAATACTGTCTAAAATTCAGACCCAGTCATATTCTTATTTTGTAGTTTATTTGGAATAATGCTATATAAATCAATTATATAATATTACACAAAGAAAAGAGTCACTAAATCATAAAATCTTAAAGACGATGACTACGCCAGGAAAAAGTATGATTTCAACAACACAGAGCCAAAATGCTGAAAGGTGGGGAAGTCAGATTTCTTCAGGTTTAACAAAAAGTTTGGTAGGGATATAGACTTAGAACACTCTGGTATCAAAAAGTAGAAAAAATAATTGATTCTACTACAAACTGAATATTTCTAAAGTTGCTTCTTAATTCTCAGTGAACAATACAGATAGTTCTGTAAGCGAGAACAAAGAGTTCCAGATCAGATCCAAAGTTGCTTTGTGATCAAAATTTTGCCTTTTCTGGTGCACCTCCTGCAGCCTACCTTCAGGACTAGTTAGGTTTCCAAAACTACAGATCCACACTGAAGCTGCAACGCCAGCAACCCTGGCATTAGAGTTCAACCTAGAACCAACTGGTATATATATAAGTCCTTTGAAACTGCTACTTCTTCTCCAAAATGAATAAAACAAACGCTGATTTTAAAATGTTAAGTTCTGAAATGTTACCAACATTTAATACTATTTATTATTAAAAAAAATATTACCTCTAGTGTGTTTGCCGAAAGTAGTTCAAAATCTGGAAGGTTATGCATTATTTCCAGATATATTTCTTTAGCATCCAATGAATTAAGAAACTAGAAGTAAGAGAATCATATTGTAATCTTTTTAATCAACGTTCACTTATTTTAGTGTCTTAGTTTTTCAGTTTTCAGAGAAAGAACTTTTAAGGAAAAAAATCATAGACGTTACACAGTTTTTAAGCTAAATATCCTAAATGTTGTCCTTTTCCAAAAAAAAGAAAAGGACAGTATATCATACTGTGGCAGTTATTAAACTGGGTTGTTTCTTTAAAAAAGTGATGTAAAATAAATTTCATTATTAGGTGTTTCATTACCTGGAATTTTCTATTAACTGTGCTGCATATTCTATGATAATCCTCAGAATAACCTGGAGTGACCTCTGGCTCACTGGGAAAAAGCTATGGTATGTTTAGTTTAATTTTAATGCTAACATGTTTTACAGAATGCCAAAGCTTTACGAATTCTTTAAAAATTGTTAAAACACTAGAATATCTGGTGATCTAAGATGCTTCATACCCCAATCAATAATTAATAGGAATTAAGATAAGAAAAACTTATTATTGGAAAACTGGAATGGACTTTATTATAGAGATTTTTAGAAATAATGTACCAAAACCAAACCACTTAGGAGTTTTACAGAGTAAAATGTATATATATAAAAGATATATTTTAAATTAAATATATTTTAGATCTAGGGCTCTTATTTAAAACAAAACAACTGAAATAGACACATCTCGATTCTAACGAACCTTCTTTATTTCGGTCCATATTTTATCCTCAGCATATTTTTCTCACAGAACTCTCTGCTCTTCTAATTCTCATGGAAGCAGCTGCTATTACAGAGTGCAGCAATAGTTACATCAAGAAAATGTATACAGGGGTTGATGAAACAGTTTATTGTATATCTTTAATTATAATAAACTATTTGTTTGAAATTCATATATTACTTGAAAGATCTAAAACTCCATTAAAAACTTGTAGGAACTACCACTGTATTCACAGTTTAATTGTGTTTGACATGAGAATAATCAACAGAAACAATGTCTATAACCTAAGTACAGAAAACTCAGATTTTCAGCTTAAAAAAAAAGCTATAGCATATTCTCAAAAAATCTATGAAATAACTTGTTACCAAAGGGCTTAAAAGGCCAAAACAGAAGACTTTCATGTCTCAGTACTATAAGCTCATTCACTTTAGTCACATTCATGAAGATTTTACTAAAAATACTCCCATAACAGCTTATATAAATATGTAAGTTATAAATCCAGTAGAACCTCCTTATAAACCTGTTTGTTTTAGAGTAAAATTTGGCAGCATCTAGAAGGGTACTGTCCAGCCTCTGAATTTCACCTGCCAGACATATTTAGCTGGCATACTGTTTTACATTTTTTAAAACTTGAATGCTTTTAGGAGAGACAGGGACTGCTACTTCGTCACTCTGTGTTGTCACATTTCTAATATCACTCATTTATGTTTCCTAAGATCATATCTGAGCTTGCTGTTTTATATCAAAAATTAAAATACAGAAAAGAAGACTAAAGGTAGTCTGTCTTATATCAGTCTGTTTTTCTTTGTGGGTTCTCTAGGGACCTATCCGATATGCCAGTATTTGTCTCAGCTCCTTGACAACTATCTCGAACCTCAGTTCCTCACTTATAAAATTAGGAATGTGAACCACACCAGTAGATTGCCAAACTGAGTTTACACCAGAATCAAACAGGGCGCTTTAAAAAAACAGATACCAGATTCCATCTAAACCTACCAATGATCTATATTTTAACATTAGAAAATATACAAATGGAAACCAATAAATATTCATTTAACCTAAGAATGTATTCCATACCTTTGGGTTTTTAAAACTGTAATGGTTTATGCCAGTTTAAAAATAATCCTTCTAGTTTAACTTTATAAACTGAAGTATTAAACAGAATCCCAGAAATTAAATATTCTAAATAATGAAGTGTCCTATAATCAGATGATATAAACTGGTTCATTGTTTTGCTCATTGTTTACAAAATGATGTATTTGAACACGTGTGTGTGTAAAGAAATTAAAGTGATTCATACCAAAATACCACTTTTCTCTTTGTTATTTAAAGTGGCTCCAGGAGGAAAATATGCAGTAGTACTTGTTGTAATGTCCAAACTTTTACAAAGGTTGTCCTGGGTGGCACAGTCCATCCATCCTACATTAACAAGACCATCCTAAAATGGAAACAAAAAAATCGTGTTGTAAGTGGAAGAAAAAGTTAAAAGGATTTATATTTAGCAAAAACACAACTTTTCTACTATTAATTAAACTTTTAAAAAGAACGCAAAAAATGATGCAGATTTGAATAACACGATTAATAAATTTAATCTAATATATATAAAAATTACACCTTACATAGGAAACATTTTCAAGCATACACAGAACATTAACAATCTTTGTAAGTGGCAAACTCCCAACCCATAAGGCAGCTTCAATAGTGTTAAAGTATCAATAACACACAGACTGCATGCACTCCCTGACCATAATATGATGAGAGCTAAATAAGTAAAACGACAAAAAATAATGTTTAGAAATGACAAAAACACTAATATATAACTTTCTGGTTAAAGAGAAACTCTAATGGAATACATAGAAGTGAATGATAACGAAAGCACCACATGTTAAAATATATTGAACACAGCTAATTAATTAGAAAGAAACTTGCAGCTATGAATACATTTATCAGAAAACAAGAAAGATTACAAATAAGTGAGATAAATGTTTAAGAAACCACCAAAGAAAATATTTGGAATCAGTTTTTAAATGTGTTTCTTAACATGGTGATACAATTTTACAAAGTAATTGATGCTTACCAACATCCCACTTAACCTGAGACGTGTCTGTGAAGTCAAACAATCTGGTGGAGGAAAAAAAACTTATGAGGCAATTTCAGCTTAAGTCTGTACTTTCATTAGCTGTTCCCCCAAACCATCATGTTGATTCTTAGGCAATTAATTGGGCTGTGCTGGTAAATACTGAGACTTTTATTTACTAGGTAGACATAGAGGTCAATGTCTCATTCTTCTCCCTCCCGTCCCCCTTTCTCTCCCTACCCCTCCCTTCCCTCTCCTTAGTCTTTTATTCTCTCCCCTTAGTTTCTCAGGATTTCCAGCTAAAAAAAAAGAAGTACCCTCTCAAGTACCTCTTTAGGAACTTATTCTCAAATGTCTCCTCCTATCAACAGTCCCCTTTATCCAAGGAATCTCATGATATGGGGTAATAAAATGTAATGCCTATTTGATAAATAACAATATGTGCAGAATCCTTAAAATACAATACAATCTTAGAATAGCTTCTTCACTGTTTTTATGTAAGTCCTATAAATATGAATGCTATGATACAATGAGATAGATTTAGAGGAAAGGGAGATGCAGCATCACAGAGCTCATGGGGATAGGTAAAATCAATCTACCTATGGTAAAAGTAAAATAATGTCAGAAAGCTTTAAAAGTTCCTTATGTGTGGAATGGAGAGAAACATGTGCATTAGGCCAAAATGAGAGAAAACCCTCAATGACAGACTAAGTTTAAGGGTGATTTTTGCTGCAAGGCAATACATTCCTAAGATGGGCCTTACCCCATGAGGTGAGTGGCTGATTTTATCTGCAAGGCAATACCTTTCCAACACAGCAGCATAAAGGCTGAGAGGTGAAGTATGGGGAAAAGATCCATGTTGGGATTAAACATATGGAAATGCATTCATTAATTAGGATATTTTCTAACACTAGGACCAATTTTTAACCAATCTTATTGCTTGAATAAAGTTTGTGTTTGTGTAGGGTACTGAACTTCCAACTTAATTTACTAGGGGAAAGGGTCCTAGAAACAAAGTTATCATCTTCAAATATATACTTTTTTTTTTTTTTTTAAGGTCACAGCACATGACATGTGGGATCTTAGTTCCCCAACCAGGGATTGAACCTGTGTCCCCTGCATTGGGAGTGCAGAGTCTTAACCACTGGACCACCAGGATATCCCCCAAATATATACTTTTATGAGGCAAACATGTACATTTTTGAAATGAATACATATGAGGAAAAGTCAGTAACTGCAAAAAATTATTATTTTGTGAGGGTTGTATCTGTCAACAACTAATTATTTTTTTGAAGTGTCAAAAACATTTATAGCTATCTGATGGTATAATTTACCATAAGTATAATTAAGCTGAAAAATTTGCCCACTGAATATAAACCATATGATACTTTAAGAAATTAATAACTGTAGAGGAGAGATCAAGATGGTGGAGTAGGAAGACACCTCCCCTGACAACATACCAAAAATACATCTACATGTGGAACAATTCTCATGGAAAACTAACTGGAAAATGGCAGAACTCCTACACAACCAAGACTGCAAGAAAGATTTCCATATAACCAGGTAGGATGGAAAAGGCATAGAGTTGGGACCCCCATCTGAGATGGATCTGAAAGGAAGAGAAGGTCCCCATGGGCAGACCCTCAATGTGGGGAGCAAGTGGGCTGAGCCACAGACTGGACATTCCAGTCCTGGGGTCCTGCAAGGAGGAGACAAGCACCCTTGGCTGCCAGGAGAACTGCTGGGACAGACGAAGGGCTAAAGGAGCCTAGACTCTACTCATGAGGAGTACACGTGCTGGTTTACCAAAAATCAGGGCGGAGAGAGCTTTGCACTGGCAGCTGCCACTTGGCCACACTCCCCAATTCGAGCTGGTTGAACATACCGGCCCTGCTCACTCCATACCACAGCCTGGTGCTAGATTTGGGCCAACCAAGCCCTGGGAGAAGACTTGGTCTAGCTATGCAGAGACAGACTGGGGTCCTGGGATGTGATCTGGGTGGACTGGAAGTGGCCACTGCCAGCACTTGCTCAGGTAGTGTCGCAGGAGCACCCCGCAGTTTGCCTCCCAGTGGAGCCAATGCTCTGGCTCCACCCACTCCACACAGCAGCTTAGCCTTGGAGCTGAGGCAGACAGGTCTGGGAGAAGACTGGGGTCAGCCCAGTGCTCTGGTGGTAGCACAGCCACCTCAATTCCTGCAGCCACTACACCCCAACCCCCAGCCCCAGCCTAGTGAATGTCCCAGCCTCACCCACTCCACACCACAACCTTGCACTAGGTCTGGGATAAACAGAAGAAGGGATGAGACCTTGAGCTGGTTCTGACTGGAGCCTCAGACACCTACAGAGGTGGTATACTGGTCGTTTGTGAGCACATGGGCCTCACTTGCTTCAGCAATCACCTCCTTTGGGGGCAGGGCACCACTCAAGGGGAATGGAGCCTGATTGAGCCCAACCCACAGGACATTTACTCCAACAGCTGGGGAGCAGGCCCTATCCCTGACAGGGCGGCAACAGCTATGCAGCAAAGAGGAAGTCCCGCTTCACACCTGCACAGTCTTTAGATTCCTCAAAACCAACCAAACCCCCTATCTAGGTGATAACGACCAGCATACCCCGAAGAAAGACATGGCTGGTGTCCATCGTACACATAGAGTCTACACAGGGATGCTACCACATAAATACACCCCTTTAAGACCATAATAGATAATTGTTTCTCCTAAATTCAGAGACAGAGACAGTTAAGTAAAATGAAAAGGCAGAGGAAATACTCCCAATTAAAAGAGCAAGAAAAATCCCCTGAAACAAATAATGAAACAGAGCTCACCAGTCTACCAGATGCCAAGTTCAGAAAGGTGGTAATAAAAACGCTAAATGAATTAAGATCAATGTAAATGCGTATCACTGTAACAAGGAACTAGAAACTACAAAGATGAACAAATCAAAAATAGATAATTCAATTTCTAAGATAAAAAGAAATCTAGAAGCAATGTACAGCTAACTAAATGACACAGAAGAATGAATAAGTAAGCTGGAAGACAGAATAATAGAAATCACCCAATCAGAAGAGCAGACAAAGACAAGTGAAAAAAAAATGAAAGGAACTTACAAGCTCTATAAAATAATATAAAATGTGCCAACCTATGCATAATAGGGGTTTGAGAAGGAGAAGAGAGAAGGGGATCAAAAACTTATTTGAAGAAACTATGGCTGAAAATTTGCCAAACCGAAAGAAGGAAACAGATATCCAGGTACAAGAAGCACAAAGGGTCCTAAACAAGATGAATCCGAACAGACCCACAAGATATATCATAGTTAAGATGGCAAAACTTAAAGGCAAAAAGAGCATCCTAAAGGCTGTGAGAGAAAAACAAAGAGTTAATTACAAGGGAACCCCCATAAGGCTATCAGCTGATTTGCAGGCCAGAAGGGAGTGGCATAATATACTAAAAGTTCTGAAAGGAAAAAACCTGCAACCTAGGATACTCTATACAGCAAGATTATCATTTAGAAGAGAAGGAGAGATAAAAGACTTTCTCAGACAAGCAAAAACTAAAAAGATTCAGTAATACTAAACCTACCCTAAAAGAAATATTGAAGGGTCTTCTCTAAATGGAAAAGGAGCAAGACACTATAGGAAAGAGAAAATCAAAATAGGCAAGGCAAATATATAGTAAGAATTGAAGATCACTTAAATAAACTAGTATGTAGACTAAACAGTCAAAAAAAATTGTAAAAGTGACTCTATAATAAAAATAAAAGGATAAGTATAAACATGTAAGATAGGATATCAAAATTGCCAAGTACCAGGGAGGGGAATAAAAAATGTACATCTTTTAGAATGTGTTTGAATTGAATGACTATCAGTTTACATCAAGTAGTTATGGGTCAACACACCTGAATTCCATGGTAACCACAAATCAAAAACATAAAATAGATTCACAAAGACCAAAAAGAAAGGAAGTCACGCATACAACAAAAGAAAATCATCAGACCAAAAGAAAAAACAAAAACAAAAATAAACTACAAAACAACTGGAAAACAAGGATTAAAATGGTAATAAATACAAACCTATCAACTACTTTAAATGTCAACAGACTAAATGCTTTGATCAAAAGACTGGCTGATTGGATAAAAAAAACAAGAACCTGAAATATATTGTCTACAAGACACTTACTTCAGGATAAAAGACACACACAGACTGAAAGTGAGAAGGAAAATGATATTTCAGCCAAATGGGAATGACAAGAAAGTCGGGGTAGCAATATTCATATCAAACAAAGTAGACTTTAAGACAAAGGCCATAAAAAAGGACAAAGAAGGGCATTATATAATGATAAAGGAATCAACACAAGAAGAGGATATTATACTCATTAACACATATGCACCTAATATAGCAGTACATAAATATATAAAGCAAATACTAAAAGACATAAAGGGAAAAACTGACAAAAATACAGTAATAGTAGATTTAACACTCCACTGACATCAATGGACAGATCATCCAGACAGAAAATCAAGAAGGAAACAGTGGTTTTAAATGATACAACAGACCAGTTGGACTTAATAGATTTCCACAAAACACTACATCCCCTGAAAACCCCAGAATACACATTCTTTTCAAGTGCACATGGAATGTTCTATAGGACAGACCACATGCTAGGTCATAAAACGAGCCCCAACAAATTTAAGAGAATAGAAGTTATTTCAAGCATCTTTTCTGACCACAATGATATGAAATCAGAAATTAACTATGGAAAGAAAAACAGAGAAAAATCAAACATGTGGAGGCTGAACAACATGCTACTAAGAAACAAATGGGTCAAAGATGGAATCAAAGAAGAAATTATAAAATACCTCGAGATTAAGGAAAATGAGAATACATTACAAAATCTCTGGCATGCAGCAAAAGCAATTCTTAGGGGGAGATCCACAGCGATACAGGCCTAACTCAAGAAACAAGAAAAATTTCAAATGAACAATCTCACCAACCACCTAAAAGGATCAGTAAAAGAAAAACAAAGTGCAAAGTCAGCAGAAGCAA